CCAATCACAGTACTTTCTCACGGATGCCACGTACATGAGAAACTAAAACTACGTGCAGGGAACTTCACTGTGTGATGATTGTGTACATATTTGTTATTTAGTTTTTCTGTTCTGCAACTGGATCTCACTTGAAGTACTACTACAATGAAGATAGCCATTGCAAGCATTGTTTCATCAGCAGTTTCATCATTCCCTTCATAACACCTAATCCCGATTTCATGTGACTGGGGATGATGCAATGAGCATGATGAATCAAAGGCAAGCAGAGATGTAACACCTCCATCTTGATGAGGCATTCCAGAATTAGAATCGTTTATGTTCTATGGTTGGGCTGCACTGTTTCTAGACTTCATATTGTGGGGTCAACCACCCTGGGCCCATGATCCTGAGCACCTTCAGCCCAGGAATTCAAAACTTAAATTTCCTCATGATATGAGAGGCAGTTTACAAGAGATTCAGTGAATAATCAGTATGGATAATGCAATGTTATCTTGTGGCTTGTCACCAATTTTGTTCCTGTGGAGACAAGGATGAATTCTTCTTCTATTGCCTGCCCAGAGATGTCAGCGTCCTGTTTTGCGCTTCTAATGTTCCACGTGGTTTAAACACACAACACAGCAGGAGAAAACACCTAGCACGACGGAAAACATGAATGTGTGGTGGGACTACACATCAGCATTAGAAGTGCAAAATGCAAGCACAGCAATCTCCACAAAGTCTTAAAACACCTGATGATGACCAATGACGGTCGAAACATGTAATATACAATGTGGTTTTAAATACGTTTAAAGGACTCACAGTGTACATGTAGCAACTTTAAAACAAATTTTTAAAGGATGTTTTCTACGTGGTCCCGTACCAAGATGTTACGTGCAGGACCAGTCAAGAGAACTAGTGCGGTTCAGTCGTTGTGAGCTGTTGCTGTTAAAAGGTAGTAGCTGAGGCTGGAGACCATTTGAGAACACAGAGGAAGGGGAACATCCGCCATTGGAAGTTGCTACCATGCAACTGTTACTGAACACTCTGAGAAGACTGTGTGTGTCCTATAGTGATTTGTGAAGTATGTAGAACAGAGAGCATAATCTCTACTTCTAGTTAAGAGTTCAATAAATCAGATTACCATTCCAAACCCTGTCTATAGCCACTAAAATTTTGAAAATATTTATATTCAAGTGGCTCAGCAGTGTTTTTCTTTCTTAACTGCTATGTTCAGTTCAATAACAGACAACTACACCATAAAATTCCACTACTTTGGCCACTCCTGCTGCTTTCATCAGAGTTTATTAAGAAATAACTTAAAAACAATTGATTTTTTATCGAAGCCTACAGGCTAACATGTATTCATGTCGTCCCCAAAAATCATTATACTGAGTACACAGCAGGCAATCCCATGGATGGTGCTGACGATGCTCAAGGCTTTCCACTCCCTGCCTACTGTTGTATGCCTCAACCTCCTCTCGTCTATGTGAGTCAAAAGAGCTTGTTGCTAGTGAAAGTTATCACTAGCATGAGTAAAACATAACAGCTCAAGGGAGATTGGGATGGGATCATTTAGTATAAAATTATGTGGACTAAAGATCTGTAAAAACTTTTTACATGCAGAATGGAACAAATGCAAGACAAACATTGCCTGGTTCTTTATATACTCATATGATATAATCAATAAAAGCATTAACACCTATATCAACACACAATTTCATTCCTACTTTTCAAATTTGGGGTTCATGTGTATCATATCTGAAGTATCTGTACCTAGGAAACTTGTGTCTTGTGTTCCCCAACTAAATCCAGCTCTTTATTTTCATAAGGTCACTTGGATGACATGCATGAGGGAGAGACAGTAAATAGGTCACATATGGATATAAAATGTAAAACATCATATTCGAACCTGGGAAAAACAGTCATTTCTTGGCATATCCTCCACCAACACTGATACACTTGTCCCACCGCTTTACCAGCGTGCTGAAACCCCCAGCATATTAGTCTTTTGACTGTTCTCAGCCACTTAAGCATCATTTCGAAAAGGTTTGCCATGTTTCTTGAACCAGTTTAAGCAACAAATTCTTCCCATGGTAAACAGGACAAATTTCTTCATGAACATCCTTTGCACAGAGTCATTTTGCCCACAAAAAAAAAAACGCACAGCAGAAGGCTACTCTTCGGTAGTTTGATCCTCAAACGCGGTCGCCATTTTGGCTAATGAAACCAGCCTCTGAACATGTGTGTGAGCTTCCTAGGCTGTTATGCTACCTAGTGATATACAAAGAAAACCTATTACATCCAATACAGCTGTTTTCCTTAGTCTGTGACCTATTTACTGACTCTCTCTTATTGACATAAAGCACAGAATTATATTTCAAATATTTTATTTATCTGATATAATAAAAGGCATTGAATTATATTTTAAATACATTACTTATTTTATATAATAAAGTAACATACACAATACTACGTAACATATTTCTCCTCCTTCCTCATCCTCTTTCACCATCAGTTATACTGTTTTCACAAAGACCAGTCTCTTAAACCTATTCTATATCATAACCACTCAAATATCGATGAGAAGCATCACCAGTGAAAAATAACCACAACACCCTGTAGAAATACTGCACAGTCAGTCTCAGAATTGGATTCCAAAAATAAGACTCAGACGGCACTGGCTGATCTCCAACCGAAGCACAAAACTGGGCCATGCTAAGATGTGGCAACGCATCTCATGCATGTGGGCTTTGCCCTCAAACATCAGGTAAACGTGACGTTAAGTACGCCTTCCTGATTATGGGCAGCATACCCTTTGAGAAGGCAAAATGCCTCCCATGGCATAAAGAACCTGCAACAAACATATTCATATGCTGAAATTCTACAAGACCGCCATATTCAAATTCTGTACTTCAGATATTAATGTCCTTGAATTTGAACTCACAACCTCGAAAGTTTGAACTAAACCAATAAAACAGACACTCTGTTCTCCTAAGGCAGATGCAACTGGTAAATGGTAAAATTGTCCCTGTGCGTAATTAACAACATCTTTATAGACATATGGAAGTGGAGGTATAGCTCTTCGCATTCTCGACCTTGACATTGAATGGAGGAAAGCTGATAGCTACAATAACATGACTTATTACTTATTAACTTCACTGACTGGGGGTTACTGCTTTGTACTAATAGATGAATCTCATTTGAAGGGATCTATTTTTGGCGTAACTGGAGTTATGACAATTTGCCTCTGCAGCACAGAACTGTGCTAACATTCAATTCCTTCACTGTCAGTGAAGTAAAATACGTAAAAGAGCTGTGCGTTGGGCAACATTCACATGTCAGATTCATCCCTTCAAATGTACATTTCTTTTACAACTCTGAAGCTCAATTTTTTATAAGGCATTTACTTATCATTAGTACAAAGTCACTGATCAACAGGGAACTGTGAGCACAAAATCTACTCAGAACACAATTCCTGTGACTCTGAAACATTTTTGTGCACATAACAACAAACAAAACTCTGCGGCTTGAGTCTGCAAGCGATCTGTACTGAGCAAGCGACCGCTGCTTATCGGCTAAGTTAGTGCCAAATGTAGAGAAGCGATTTGCGACGAGTATCCTGGACGTAAGAACATTAAGAGGGGCCAACTGTGATAGTGATCATTACTTAGTACAGGTTAAATATAGATGTAAAATAAGTTGTCAAAGATCTAAGCAGTATGAGAAATGTAAAGAAACTTAATATTGACAAGATTATGGAGAGTGATAAGAGAGAAGCACTTCAAAATAAAATTAAAGAAATTAATGACAACAGAGCAAATAAAGAAGTAATGGTAGAAGGGATATGGGTAGATTTTAAAACCGCAATAATTATAGAAGCTGAGAAGACTCTGGGATATCAAGAGAAACAGGATAATAGAGAATGGTTCGACGAGGAATGTAGGGGGAGTATAAACCGCAAGAATAAGAAATATATGGAAAGACTAGCAAGAGCAAGGAATGAGGAGTATAAAGAAGCAAGAAGAAAAGCAGACAAGATTTGCAGGAAAAAGAAACGGGCCTTTCTAATTGAGCAATTACTGCAACTGGAAGATGACTTCAAAAATAACAAAACAAAAAATGCCTTTGGTCGAATCAAATATATGAAAGAAGGTTTCAAAACAAAAACAGAACTTATCCGAGACAAAAAAGGCTTCTAATAAATAATAAAACAGAGATTATGAATACATGGAAAGAATATTTTGAACAATTATTAAATCAAAATCAGAATATGGAAGATAACGAGGACAATGAAGAAGAAAATGCAGACGATGGAGAAGGGGAAGAGATAATAGAGTACCCAACAAAGGAAGAAGTGGAAGAAGCATTAAAGGAACAAAAACCAAATAAAGCACCAGGAGGAGATAACATACCAGCAGAATTATTGAAGGCAGGAGGACAAGAAGGAATAATAGCACTCCACAGAATTATAAATGAAGTGTGGGAAGAAGAAAAGACACCAGAAGATCGGGGAAAGAGCATTATATGTCCCATATTTAAAAAAGGGGATAAATTAACATGTAGTAACTATAGAGGTATATCATTACAAGATCTGTAGCCAGAAACTCTGACCACTAGACCACAGAGACTGTTAAAAATTCCTCCCTGAACAGAGGAGTCTGTAACCAACTTTTAATACCAAGTACACAAATTCTGCTGGGATAGCTCAGCCTGTATACTAATGGAATTGGTCTGAGCAGCCTGGGTTCAAATGCCAACAGGAACAAGAAATATTTCCTTCTCCACCATATCCTGACTGGCTCTGTGGCAGACCCAGCTTCCTAGCCAATGAATACCGAGAGCTCATTGCCCTGGGGGTGAAACTGACCATCCACCTGCATGTAGTGCCCATGTCAAGAATGGTGGTCCTATACCTCCAGTCTCCGATACGTCTTCATGATCACAGGGACAACTTCACCTTTGCCTTACATGCAAACTAAGATACTGTAACATCGTAGGCATATCTTCCCATGTCATACGCCTACCACTGTCTGTCCTACTTGTAACTACAACTCTTCAATTTTTTGCTACCAAATCATAATTAACATATATTAACAGAACAGCATGTTTGCTGCAATCTTCTAGTAATATTCATAACTACTACCAGCTCTTTGACTGTTAACATATATAAAAGAAATGATAAGCACCTTGTTTTCAGGATGCGTTTCGGTGCAGCTTTCACAGCCCTGGCAACTTTATCACTGGCTGTGGAAATTCATCAAGAGTCTTGTGACAAAATCTCACCAACTGTTGTTCTGACTTTGAGAGCACAGGCTGGTCTGTGGCCCATGGCTGATGCACAATGACACAGCTACTATCGAGGCGAGGGCCATCATGAGTTCCTGTTACTATGTCTCCCAGCTTTCCTGCGCTGTCCACCTGGGAAACCATAGGAAAAGGGCAACGTTAACAACAGCAGGTCAAATTTAGAGGCAGGGTATATACAGAAACACTTTACTCTGGGCAGGGTTATGATAAATGCAAAGGGCCTTCAGAATATTACATGCTAATACTGAACCCAATCTCTTTCATCTTCAAAGTCTGTAAGCCACACACATTTGTAGTTAACTGCAGTGACTTGACAATAATTAAATGTAAATTCTCAAGTGATACATAAAGTTAGTTTGACTATGCTAGGCATATATATGACCACAGCTATAATATTAACCAAAAAAACCATCACCACTAATACAAGTATTATGTTTTTGGATATTATCCATTGTCCTGTCTATTTTCTCGAACACCGTCCTGTTTGTTTTTCAAAACACAAGTGTTTCGGAGACTCGATTCTGTCTCCATCTTCAGGTAAAACGTACTCAGCTGGGCCCAATAGATAGAGCTAGGCCCTTACCTCCGGACCGGATTTTACCTGAGGATGGGGACGGAATCCAGTTTCTGTAACGTTGTTTTGAAAAATAAACAGGTGGGTTTTTAGGAAAATGGACAGGACGATGGATAATGTCCAAAAACATAATACTTTTTAGATGTACCATCCTCACAAACTTTTAGATCTTATCACCACCACTAATGTTACAAATATGAAGGAACAAAAAGTTGTCAGTATAATCCAGAGATGGAACTAGAATAAACTCCTGAAACGCAAATTGCTCACAGAATCCCCCCAAATCACGGCACTTCTGTTAACCACATGAATTTTGTATTTCAAACTATCGCAAGTTTAACATTCTGTGCTGTACAAGATAACTAAATAAAACCCCTAATACAGAACATAGAATATGTTGTCACCACACTGTAAAATTTTTCCTAAGTTCGCTAAACTGAATTCGATACTTATGCTGGATATAAAATAAAAGAATTACTTCTTTAAAAACAGTTTGACAAAAATACAGGCCATAATTCGGTTACAAAGATCTGTATTTCAAAACGAAAAACTTTTAAATGTAAAATACACCATCCCAGTTATTTAATGCAGGCTAATTAAAATTGTGTTTAAAACCGAAATGCATTCACGTCTGATACTATCCAGTAAGAGAAACACGTAATGGCTTACAGTAATTATTCTGTTATGTACCTGTATGATGTGGATATCATTCTCGTAGCAGAACGCCTGGAGCAAGACAGTCTGTATATGAAGGGCTGCATTGCCTTGGCTGCTCTCTGGCATGATGCAGAAAAGGGCGCTTCCGGGGTCCATTTCTAGTAATTTGATGGCTGGCAGAAGTCCACATGTGAGGCGCTTCTCGGATTGGGCTTTTCTCAAGACGGTCATCACCGCCCTGCATAGTGATTTCCTATTCATCACACAAAGAAAATGCTAATTTCTTTCCATGGTACTCAACTTCGTTACTAAAATTATCATCTGGGTTATTGCTTCAGACACGTGCCAAGGGCCGGCAGACTTCACTTGCCAATTACAAACTCACGTGTGCTTCCAATGACAGGCCGGCGCGAACTGATACAAAACGGTGTGATTACGTTGCACAACATTATGACACTTGATTGCACAAGGGAAAAGGGAGGGTTCAAACGTACAGTAGGGACATGAAGGTGAGTCACCTCGCCTTAAACTCTGAATTGTGACAAATTTCTCACATCAAACATTTTTTCATTCGAGCACTGGTGTACATTCTATTTGGAACTATTTCTTAAACGGGCTAATAACAAACTATAACATTAATATACACACGGACCTGAAAATATCCCGTGAAAGATAATTACGTATTGGTAAAAAAGCATTTTTCGGTCACCGTGTACACAAAATTATTTCGTAAATTACACAAAATGGTAAAATTTTATTTATGCTGCGAAAAATTCTATTCAAGGGACGATCTAACAAACCCTCTCACCAGTTTTCGTTTATGTAATGGGCACTATCTCAATTTTCTTTCAATTACTTTTCTCTACACAAACCAGGTGTGGATCGAATTACGGTACATGTCGGCATTAATATGTAAACCCCTGCAACAAAAACAGGCCTACCGCTTCCCAAGTTACGTGTGTGATGCAACACTTAAATTCAAAATTATTCTGCTACGACACGCATAGCAACACCACCATTACATTACGACAAGATTTAAGTGGGCAAACAAAAGTTGCATTAGATAATATGAAAATATGTACCTTAACACAGGTTCAGTCAACACCTGATACCGGGTCAAACACGCTGGAACATGCTATGCGCAATGTTGCGCAACATTCCAAGGCTATGGAATCTCTATCATTTCATGAAGGTCTATGAAACGTAACTTTCTACAAACCAAACGCTACGTTACTGCAAGATTGCATGTTACATTATTACGTACAGCATTAAGTTATTTATCGTTTATTTAATAACACTATCATTGGGGCTGGTGAATACTTCATTGGTAAGAATGTGGAATAAACCGGCCGTGCTCGAATTTCAGGTACTATGCCGGAACTTGCCCAGAGGGGCTTAGAAAGCCACAAAGCCTTTAAGCACAATGTATTTTGCACATTGCAAGCAGAAACTTAAACAAAAATAAAAATGAGTTTCATAATTTAATCTAGATGCAAATTGCGTGCCCACCTAAAATATTGCAATTCACTTATATTCTATATGAATGTGTGTTTTCAAGGCTACAGGTATATTATTTTTAACTCTGATATAATTTTCAGACTGCTACATGTGTAACATTCTGAAAATATTACTAATGAACGTGTGAGTACATGTCAATTTCATGACCTACCTGCTCATGTTTGTTTCAGGGACGTCTTCCAGAGTCATCTTCTGAATCTGCGTGCTCAAATATTCCTGCGGAATTGTCTTGTGTCCAATTGATTTATAGGGCAAGCCTTTTGAGTGATGCACTGTAGCGCAATATCGAGCACTGACTTTAATAAAACCTTTAACGCACCACGAAACTATATAATCCACAACTTCCACACACAGAACTCCTCCTTCGTTACTCAAAAGTGCGTCATCATTCCGGCAGCCACAGTATATATACGACCTCGCGCATGCGCTTTCCCTGCCTGGCTTGAAATCCCGCACTTTACACGTGACGATGAATTTCACGGAAAACAAGATCTTCGCAGACGAATACTGTCGGCGCTAAGAAAATTCCTGGTACTTCTCTCTCTCTCTCTCTCTGCTTCATATAGTAGGATTCTAGGCTTTATTAATTGATCACTCGAAATGCTCCAGTCCCATTCACTACTACACACCCACAAATAGCTCTCTCTCTCTCTCTCTGGTTTTACGGCCCTTTGAACCTTGGCTGCTTTTTTTATTAATCCTATAGAAAGCCGGTAGGACTCCGTGGACGGGGATCAGCTAGACGCAAGGCCGCTACCTACACACAGAACAACACAAACATAGAATAAATGCACACAGACCGAGCAGGATTCGAACCAACGACCCCAGTGTTTGAGTGGGCGAAAACGGTTCATGCTTTACACCGCACGGCCACTGTGATCGGCAATGAGCACACTCGCACAACAAAAATATCATTACGAAGGAACTTCTTCATTACAGAAACAAAAATTATTTCAACACAAAGTGTTCTTCTCCTAAAGAATCCTAATTTTGTTGTTAATTGAAAGTTCATAAACGGTGTATGTTTTGAGGTCCTCACAGCGGCCGTTATGAAGAGTTCTGTGTTGTGGGATATAACGCCGTGTAGTCCGTTGGAACTCCACGGAATCATATCCCCAAACATAGCATTCTATATAAACGGTGAATATTCGAACGTGTATTTAATTACTACGTCGTTTATTTTTCGTTCATCTATTAATGTATACGCAGCTAGGACTGGAAATCCAAGGAATGCATTTTGTGCGAAAACCTCTCGGAAAAAGTCCATTGGCAAGACGAAGAAAAATAAATGATTACTAAACCATTCTTCACGGAAACTGAGGTGGGTCTTTAGTGACTGTTTTCGCACGAAATATAGTTATTAGCACTTCAAACGTTAAGGAGAATGTTATTTCAGTAGTTCTAAACAGTAAGAAAATTCGTTTTCCGGAAGGTCGGACAGAATGCTAATTAATGCATTCCAGGAGCTTGCCACTCACGTCGTGCAGATTAACATAAATCAACGCTAATGTGACTAGACGCCGAGTGGTACATTACTTGGCAGATGTCTCAAGGTGTCGGCCCATTCGTTGAAGAAGAGAGTGCCAAGAATCGCAGACTCGAATCCTTCCACGAGCATCACGCCCTTGCGGTCTGAGTTCTATTCCAGGACATTCCTTGACGGATTTGCTGCGGAAAAAGCGGGACTGGGGGATGTTTCTTATAGAGTGCTTCCGAGGATTACCATCTTAACACGCTGGGGATGTAGGGTCATTACCTTCAATGATTCAGAAGACTGCACGAAGATTTTCTTCTTTGTAACAGGTAGCTACAGGAAGCACGAAAGCTAAAGAGAGAAGGCAGATTCTCTCTAGAGGACAATAAGACGCAGTAGTATAACAGTTTGTCCCCCCCCCGGCCTGGGTTCTGCTGGTAATACCACAAAAAGTATTATGCCCGTGAGCTGCAAAGAATCTAAACAGACGGAAAACAAGTGAATGTCATGTTAGAAGAAGAAGTCAACTGGCCTGCCAAGGAACAGACGGTCAGGAGAAGTTATGGAACAAGAATAGGTTTAGAACCTAATCAAAGATGGCGACGGTAATGATTTTCGCTGCCAGTCATGGTTCCAGCATTGCCGCACACTCATGTACTATCGATCCTGAAACGTGCTATAGGCCTAACATGATAGCACGTTATTACAACCTTGGCCCTCAGTAGGAGCTTCATCTATAACCTTACATTAGGCTCCTCTCAAAAGTAAATCGAACCACACCATACAGCTACAGTTCTTTCGTATTATCCTGGTCACAAAGCACGAGATCGAAATCCGGTCACGTCTGAGTGAGTAATTTCATATGCTACACGACACTGATTCACGAACTGTGTTCCGCGGAACTAAGACGTTCCGTGGCGAAATATACGTAACGGACTGTGTTCGGGCGTGGCCTAAGCACCAAAACTAAGTTCGCCTGACAGTTCTAGTTGTATCACCTCCCAATAACAAAATCACATCCGCCAATTAATTTTGGACCTTACATATTCGGACACGGAAGGTGTTTGAGAACGGGGTGTTGAGGAGAATACTTGGATCGAAGAGAGATGAAGTAACAGGAGGTTGGAGAAAACTGCATAATGAGGAGCTTCATAACTTGTACTCTTCTCTGAGTATAATTAGAATGATCAAATCAAGGAGGATGAGGTGGGCAGGGCATATAGCACGAATGGTGGAGAAGAGGAATTCATATAGGATATTGGTGGAAAAGCCAGAAGGAAAGAGACCTCTGGAAAGACCAAGACGTAGGTGGGTGGGCAATATTAAACTGGATCTTAGAGAGATACGATGAGATGGATTGGATTGATCTGGATCAGGATAGGGACCAGTGGAGGGCTCTTGTGAACACGGTAATGAACCTTCGGGTTCCATAAAATGCTGGGAAGTTCTTGAGTAGCTGCAGAATTGGCGGCTCCTCAAGGAGGGCTGAGCTCCATGAGTAAGTAATTCTTTCCGCAGTATCCATATCTCGCTACCGAACAGGGGAGAGGCGTAAGGATTAGTGTTTGGTAGAGGGGCTACTTTTCGTCTTCTAATATATCGAACTCTCTTTTGCACCACCGAATTTTTATTTTATCTGTGGCCCACTGTTTTCTCCAAGATAACTCCTCGGCACGGGCCCCATAGAAAACACCCGTTTCCATTGTTGTAGTCCAACTGTTCAGCTACCTAGCAACGGGTTGCACAACACCGTTTCCTAAATTAACTCTATTGTTGTACAGGCGTGTTTATGCGCCGTTGCATAGCAATGACTGTTGTCTCATTGATTGTTTCGAGGGTTTTACGAAGCAGCGGATCTATACGCCACAACATATAAGAACTTTATTAGGAGCTCTATAAAAATGCTGGCCCGTCACGGTAGCCGAGCGGTCTAAGGCATGTACTGTCTTCGCTCGCTTGGAAACCGGGATCGTGGGTTCGAATCCCACTCAGGGCATGGATGTTTAGTTTGTGTGTATGTGCATTTTTCTGTGTTTGTGTACAGGTAGAGGCCTTGCGACGAGCTGATCACCCGCCCAAGGAGTCCTACCGAATGTGTAAGATCTAGAAAAACCGAAGTGAACGGAGAAGTTCATGGAGGTAGGCCTAGGCCCAATGGGGCTGTAGTGCCAAGGAAAAAAATAAAAAATAAAAAATGCTGTGTGTGAAAGGGTTCCGTTGCCAAGTTAATTTGGGATACACTGACCTAGTGAGCCTCGTTAAGATGCAATTAGTACTATTATAATTATAAAGCAACCATTAATGTTCAAGCTCTGAAATAATACCGAAATCTGAGGATTTCGTGTTTTCATTCACAAGGCGTTGGAGCTACGAGAAGTCCGTAGCAATGACCTTGATGCATGTACGAGCATGTCGTGGCTGACAGTCATGGCGCTTGTTCACATGGCGACATGGTACTTTGCAGTGCGGAGTGCAGCGTCACGTTCCAGGGCAAGGTTTTAATACATTCGTGCACAAAGGAACTAACAAGAACGCATTATAGTGAGGTTATGTCAGTCTGTTCTGTACGTGTCATCTCCAGAACTATTCAACGGATTTAGACGGTATGCACATTAAAGCAACAATTAGAAATAGTGTGTTTAAATGACTGTTGTTCACACTGGAACGATCGGAGATAGAAAAATATGGATATGGGTACCGCGGTGCCCATAACAAGAATGACTGAGCTGGCGAGGAGCAGCAGTTCACCAAAGAGACTGGAACCCCCGCGTTATCGCAATTACTAGCAGCCAGAAGCGGTAGACGTCGTGTATCATAACATAAGCAATTTATTCGTCGTCTAGTGATTAATGCTACCTCTTACTTAATGTGGCTAGCGTTCCGTTCGCGTCTTGCGTAACCATGTGTACGGCGGCCTGCACAGGAGTAGATACCGTATAGGCTCGAATATAAAGCGACCGACGCAATTAGAATTCGTCATAACCATCTTCCTGTTTATTCATCATCATCATAATCATCATCATCATCACTCATGGAGCTGAACCCTTCTTGAGAAGCTGCCAATTGTGCAGCTACTCAAGAATTTACCAGCATTTTATGGAACCTGATGGTTCATTATCGTGTTCACAAGAGCCCTCCACTGGTCCCTATCATGAGTCAGATCAATCCAATCCATACCATTCCATCCTGTCTCTCTAAGATCCATTTTAATGTTGTCTACGCACCGACATCTTGGTCTTCCCATTGGTTTCCGTCCTTCCGGCTTTCCCACCAATATCCTACATGCGTTCCTCCTCGCCCCCTTTCGTGCTACATGCCCTGCCTATCTCATCTTCCTTGAATTGATCATTCTAATTGTACTTGGAGAAGAGTACAAGTTATGAAGCTCCTCATTAAGCAGTTTCCTCCAACCTTCTGTCACTTCATCTCTCTTCGGTCCAAATATTCTCCTCAACACCCTGTCCTCAAATACCCCCAGTCTACGTTCCTCCCCTAAAATCAGGTTTCAGACCCATACATAACCACAGCCAAAATTATAGTTTTTATATTCGTCTTGCAAAATTTCGTAATAAGCTTTTTTTTTACGGTGAAGAGTTGTTAGCCCCATGCCCAACCTTCCAAGCTGGAGGACCACCTATTTTCGGCTGTCCACGACTGCTCATTCAATATATTTGCAGCTACCCTCCATACTTGGAGGGCGTCCCCTCCATCCACAATCTGAGGACGCGCCATTCCGTGGTGAGAAGAGACTCGCCTAAGATGGGTTCCTTTATTCTTAGGACCCGAAAATAAGGCAACCACTTTTTTTGTAATAAGGAATATTTGAAAAAGAACCCGCGCCTTGTATTATGGCTACCTCGTTAATTGTGTGGGCTTAAAGTCAGCTGTCATGGCTATACACGGGGTTCGTGCAAACTTTAGCAAAGTACTAATGACCCTGCTAGTGTTCCATTCAGGAAAACTTATAAGGGAGTGTTTCTGAAAAGCATGTTGGTAAGTTAATTTTAATTTCCATTGTAAAAGGAAAGCACGAACAGGCGATTAAACCTATATTTTTACGAATTCGCTTTTGCCGCAAAGTGCCGTAAGCAATGACCACAGGTTTCACGAGCTATCAGAATTTTCATTTCCTTGTTGTGAATACACAAGCGATGCGATATCGCGTGTGGCTGGCTGCTCATCGCCTGTTGCTACTTGCTTTGGTGTGCATCCTGCCTGAAATGTTGAGGTTAAATGCCTGTGGTGTGCTTCTTTTATGTTAATAACAAACAAGCAACTCTGCTCCATGCTTTTCAGAAATATTCACTTTTTAGTAATCCGCAATGAAACAATCGTAGAAACATGAATAATTTTCTGTAACTTGCACGAACTCGATATTTCGTTTGTACTTAAAGAGCTACAAGTCTGAAAGCAAGTGAAAGCTCCCGCGATTCATTGCCGCGCGAATGTAAAGCATCCACACTAAAGAAGGCGGGGAAACCCAGGCTATGCATGTAGGTAGTGATATATGTATCTACACCTGTGTTCCGCGGAAGCTCAGGGTTCAGCGAAGTGAAAATACGGGTTCCGCAGGAAAAACTCCATTAGAACAAATAAATTATAAAATGCAACAACAGACTACATGCGACGCCATATTTGAGAATTTAGCTTTCCAATATCAAGCCGGCCATAACAATATTTTGTGAAGAGAAAAAACTGAAAACAGCTCTTCATGTTAAAAAATTGCAAATATGTGGCAAATTAGTCTCTAAGCATAATTTTTCGTATAAGTAAAATGTGATTTTCTTCCTGAAAAGTGTGTAGTTAAATTATATTATAATATCCCTATGAATATTTCTTCTTATTTGCAGTTAGTTTTTTAGCTTCACATATGTGAATTTTATCAGGGGATCCCTTAAATTTTTTCAGAACTGTGTATGGGTTTCACGGCCAAATTAAACTGGGAAACCCTGATGTACATTATTCAGCAGCAATGGACGCCGTTAGGTAACGTTCCTCCTCCATCCTCCATCCGACATCCTTCAGGAAATCGACTAAAATACTCGTACACGATCTCCATGTATTTTAATTTTGCTTCACTTTGGTTGTCGTCATGCAACAAACACTGTTATGGATGTAGAGAGAGTGAAAACAGGGTGGAGACACAGAGACAAGAAATGGATAGCGAGTAGAATAAGTGAGTTATTTAAGAATTCTGCATCAACCACAGAGGTTATAGAAATAACTTTCTTGCGATGCAACCAGACAAGTTCTGGTCTCAAGATGGATGTGTCTGTGTTCCAAGCGAAATTTGTACAAAACTAACAGCTACTCTAACCATTCTGGTACCTTCTCTCACACCCATGTACAATGACCTCATAATCAAAAGTGCTATGAGGTTAAATTCTGAAAATGGATAACAGCTGCAGGTTCTTTATATTGTATTTGGCTTACAACAAGTTTGTAAAATCAACTATAACAAATGTTTGCCAAAATAACAGTGATAAATTGAACACTTTACAAAAAAAATTACTACATCAGGACTCACGTGGTCCCTGTTGGAAAAGATGCAGCTACTCCTATATCCCACCACCAATACAACAAGAAAAACACATTACAATAGAAATACATAACATTCCTGAAACAGTAAAGCAGGAGACATTTTGGAATAGCTGCAACTTGCCTACCACAGCCTTGACATTTGTAATTCAATACCAAGCTAAATTCAATAATTCGTGATAATGTCGACTGGATACAAACCTGAAAACATTTTCTTCTTCTTCTTCTATGGCGCAACAGCCCGATGTCGGGCCTTGGCCTCCCTTATCAAGCTCCTCCATTCCTCTCTATCCTGCGCTGCTCTCTTCCAGTTCCCTACACCCATTAACTTCTTCGCATCTTCTTCCACCGCATCAATCCATCTAGTTCTTGGTTTCCCAGCATGTCTCCTACCGCCTATTGTACTATATAATATTTTCTTTGGGATACGCTCCTTATCCATTCTCTGTACATGCCCAGCCCGCTGCAATCTTTTAAGCCTTATCGTCACTGAGATCTCTGGCTCCTTATATAATTTGTATAACTCTTTATTATATCTTATTCTCCATATCCCATTCTCTTTTATTGGTCCATAAATTCGTCTTAGGATTTTCCTCTCGGAAGAATTGATGACTGATCCCTCTTTCTTGTTTAGCGTCCAACCCTCACATCCATAGTAAAGCAGAATTATTACTGTGCACAATTTTGAAATCTAAATCTATCTGTCTATCATATCTATCGATATTAGGCAACTGTATCTATCAGAGACATGGTTCAGTGAGTGCATTTGCTGAACCAGTGCTGGTGAAAACATCAACCTCATAATAGATGGAGGCAAAATGTATGCAGGGATAGTGATTTAGTTGTGATAAACTTTCTGAGAAATAGACCAATTCAAAACACGGATAAATGAAATGTTCTCATTAAGAATATATTTAACATTAAAATAATCTTCAAATTATTTGAATACAGATAGTAAATTAGCAAAAATTTGCAATTTGATTTGATTCATCCTGGTCCAACACACTAGCAATAGTACAAAAGATTATTAACGCCGTCCAGTGCGATCGATAAATGTGTTTTTTAATCTTTCATCCTTTACATGTTTCGGTCGGAGTGACCATCTTCAAGAGGACATTATCAACCATACGGAAACTACTATTACAATGTCATTGGTCATTATCAGTACTTACAGAAATTATTACAATGTCATAGATATAAAATATTATCCTGTAACAATTACTACGATGTGCATGAATTTTTTAACGTTGAATTCCTGTTGAATGTCGGTGGATGAGCTGTGCTGGCGACGATCGTTGATGTATTTCCCCGCTCGGCCTTCATTTGCACTATGTCCAACCGGGCCTGGAACTCGCGTTTGGTTTCGTCAATTGCTGCGCAGGTTTCGTTGTAGTTCTTCGTCAGGTTTTCCTGGAGTTTATCTGTCCGCGCGCAGAGGGACACTTCAATCTGCTCAGGTATTGCTGACCGGAGAGTCTGTTTGTCGTGTTCAACGATCGCCAAAATGTTTTCGACTCTATGTTGGATTTGGTCATCCAATTCTGTTCGAATAGATTGCATTGCGGCCTTCAATTCTTCCTTGTCGGCCGCCGCCTTTTCTTGGTTGGCGTCTAATTTGGTCATTAAATCCTCTTTGTCTGTCTTCCTATTTTCTTGCATGGCCTTCATCTCTTTCAGCATATCGTCTTTATCAGTGTTCCTATCGGCGTATAATTTTGCCAGCATGATATTTGCTTTTTCTTGATTGGATTCTAATTTCGCCAGGAAATCCTCTTTGTCTTTCCTCCTATTGGCCTCCATTTCTTGGTAGGATCTCATGTTGGCGTCCATTCTGTTTTCCATCCGCACTCGGTCGGCATCTGCTTTTACTTGGTTTGCCCTAATCTCTTTCAGCATTTCTTCCTTCTCCGCCTTCCTTTATTACTTCTCCGCCTTCCTTTCTTCACCTTCTTCCTCGGCCTTCGCCTTCTGTTTCTTCCATGCTTTAGCCATCTCCAAAACTTTGAGGTTTTGCTTAGTAGCCTCATCCTCTGGAAATATGTAATCAAAGATCTCTTCCCAGCCTTCTTCAGTCCCATCATCTGCCTGAACTCTCTGTCTTTTCTTGACTCTTCGAGGCATCTTCTGCAGCACATTCTCTAGAGATTCCTTGTCTCCATTTTGGGTCTCAAAATCTCTCCATGCCTCCAAGAGTAAAATACGTTCTTCTTTCTCACCAGCTCCACGCAAAGACTGATTTGCTCGTTCATACACTTGTCTTGCAAGAACATTTCCTTCCTCTGAAGCAGACATTTCAAACTGTGCATAGCTCATCCAGACCTTAACATGCAATGTTCTTTCCAGCAATCTTTCATACAGCGCTCTGGCTTTATCAGTTCCACTCAACCCTACTTCAAAGTCAATATATGCTTTCCACAGTAACTCAGGCATGTCCAAGCGAGGCTGGTTAACTGCAAGTTCATAAATGGCTCTTGCTCGATCTGCGTCTCCCAGCGACATCTCCAATTCAGCAAACCTCATCCATGTGACACAGTTTTCTGGCCCAAATTCTAGAAACTTCTGATACAGGATGCGACACCGATCAAATTCTCGAAGTTTAATTTCTAGCTCTATGTAACCTCTAAACAGCTTGTCTTTCGGGCACATCCCAAGAGCCATACCCAGGCTCTTCCTTGCTGCAGTCAGGTTCTTGTTCCTGATCTCAAAGTGGGCATAGAGCAGCCAGATCTTCGAGAAGGTAAAGTGCTTGTGTGGAAGTAATTCAAGGCAATATTTGTACACCTGCCGAGTTCTCTTCACATCCTCTGCCTCCAACTCTTCAAAGAGAGCATAATTGATCCAAAGGTAGATGTAGCGGCGCCAGAATGATTTCTCTTTGGTGGGAGGAACGTTAGCAATAGCTCTTTCATACGTCTCACGGATTACTTCCAGATCACCCTCACTTTCCACCAGACGAAGATAGTCAAACCAAGCATCATAATTATTTGGGTTTGCTTTGACCTCCTCTTCATACTGAAATTTCCTTTTGCTAACTATAACATCTTCTATCCCTGTTCGATCACCGTATTTCTTTTCATGGATTGTGTAGGCTTTGTACAATTCCTGTGTCCGATTCTTTGGAATATGCTGTAATGCATACTTGTAGATTACCCTTGCACGATCATGCTCTCTTTGACCTTCTTCAAACTTTGCAAATGCGAGAAACAGCTTCTCATCCATTAACTCATCTCCAAAGAACTCGACTGCTCGTTCAAACACACCCCGTGTACCTGAGATGAATCCATGCTGTTCTTCAAACCTTGCAAATTTGATCCAATTTCGAATATCTGGATGAACAGACACAAACTTCTCATAAATTCTTCTTGCTCTGTCAGTCTCTTTGTAGCGTAGTTCAAATTTGATGTATGTTAGCCAGGCCTGTTCATCAGGTTCCCACTCCATCCATCGATCAAACACCTGACGTGCACCTGCCACATTCCCAAGCATTTCTTCCATGTACGTATATTTGTACCAGAACTGATTGGCTCGTGGAAGAACAGTTACAGCTCGATCCCATAGATTACGAGCGTGGTTAACTTGTCGGTTCCTCATCTCCATTTCAGCGTATCTCAGCCATAATATGATGTTGCGATGATCAACATCCAAAGCTCTCTCATAAATGGACCGTGCCCTTTGGACTTCCTTTTGACTTTCCTCCCATTGTGCATATTTAATCCAGTTGCTAATAACTGTACGATTTTTCCTGAGGCTGTCCTCAAAGGCTTTTCTTTTCCTATGCTGGTAATCAGCAAGTTCATCTGGATCAGAGATTTTTTGTTTTGGAGGAGGTGGCAAGATTTCAAGATCTCGTTCTTTGGCTTCTCTCAGAAGTTGTTCAGCAGTGATCTGGACTTCTGCTGGAGCTTTGTTTTTTACCTTTACCACTTTGGGCATTTTCTGATGTTTCGTCTCCATTCTGGAAGTGAAATAAAAATTAAACGACCACAATTATTTAAATCCAAAAACTCAAGTAACTTTTCATACGAAACACGTCTTCCAGACGCTGTTGACGCTCTTCACGTAGCACTTCTGACACCAATGTAACGTGTTGCGTTACTGAATACGCCGTAGAGATTGTTAATTGGTTTATTCAACAACCTACAAATAACGGCTACAATTAATTATAACACAGTTGCGGGTTTCCACACTTTACAAACCCTACAACCAAAGTCTTCGCGTACTAATAGCGCGGGAGCTATACAAGTCTCGCTGAATTACACACTCCAAATATAACTGGTTATCACGAACTATCACTGATTCTCGCACACGCGTCTGTAGCTCGTAACTTGGGAACTGAGAACTCGTTGATAACACACTGACTCTCGCTTGCTGCTCAGCCGGCTTTTATTCCGTTCGCTGTTGCTAGGGTCGCCCGCCACGTCACTACTGTGACGTGGCGTATAGCCTAGCAACACTGTACCTCGCGCCGTCTTACGTCACCGCGCGTTGCGCGTTACGTCACCGCAAAGGGGGTGGGGGGAGGGAGCGCTACGTTACCGCCACGTGCCGCTGGGGAGGTAGGGGTCCTTCGTTGCGCAATATGTCACAATATTTATAAATTATTATAACTAGTCTACTTACAAAGTATTGTTTAAAAACTTTCTGTTAAAATCTGGAACCAATTCGGTTCGTGCATGCAGTGTAAGAAAGACGTATGTCACTTAGGATGCTTTGTAAGAAGACTGATCATCAGGGTTATCACAAGCCAAAATTGCGCTGTCCTACATAATAGAAGTACTATATCGGCAAGCCCGCTGCGACTGAGGAGAGCCATCCACAACATCAGTCAGGGCAACAGTATCCTGTTCGAGATTCGAACCGAATACCCCCTGAATACGAGTTAAGAGTATTACCGTTACCTTAAGCCGTCCGGTTACTGTTTTGGTATTTGTAATGCGAGACAGAAGAACGTACATACTTATCATTGTTACACAAATAAAGGTTATTTGAACGAAGTAAGACTTCTTTTCTTTGATAAACTATACTCTCATATTACGATTGACAGAAAATTATAAAAAACTGGGAAGAGAGGGGAAAAAAAAGAAAGAAAAAATGGTGTTTTTGTTAAAAATTGAGTACCCAAAAATATGACGCGATGCAAAATTTCTGATCAGAGATTTGGAATCAGCATATCAAAATATATAACAAGACATATCTGCCTCAATAATACCATACCCTTGTAGACCAGTGTTGTTATTTCATGCGATATCTCGAAATGATTGGTGCCCCCACCAACCTGTGCTGACTACCACGTGCCCAGCAATAGGTACCGTAAATTGCAGAAGGAAATAGTTTTTCCAAAACAATGAACGCGCATTTCTATCAAAACCTAGATTTTACTATTACAATAGATTCTCCTATTACAAACAAGACAGAAAAGTTGTATCGTATTCTTTTAAGACCAGAAAAACGTCGCAGGTTAGGCAAAATTTTCAGGTTCCTCTTCCTATTCACCGGCCACTGTTTGCTTCACCTGTTATAGATCCTACTTCTATGTGGGGCGGGATTTACAGTCGTGAAGGCCCCTCTCAATAAAACAAACTTTGGTTAAGTCAATTCTTTTTCTTTTTTCTTACGTCTTATATAAGAACAGGAATACAAAGTGATGTTTCGAGATTGCAGAGAAACAAACGCTTCAGTAACACCTGTAGATTCTATTTTCTTTGTGGACGCCCCGTCGTGACCATCTCGGTGGCTTTCCCTTAAATCTGATCCCGAAGTTCTACCCAGTTCACTAACCTAGTAAGAACTGGAACTAAAGATCTGTAAGTAAATCTTTTCCCACGTGCCCCTCTGCTTTACTACGACTTTGAAAGATAATGAAATATGTCAAATGTCGGGGGGGGGGGATACCGGGAAAGTAATTTTCGTAAGGCATCTCCTTCTTTCAGACCATCATGAATGGAAAACTCATCTGACAAATATTTATTTACGTGGACATCGCTATAATTTCTGTCTAAACGCATTAACTGTTTTTATGTTTATTCCTAGTTAAATGAGAATACATTACAATACTTCAAAATGAATCATACGTTCCCCTGATGTCTATATATGTATAACTGATGTAAGTATCATATTCCAATTTTTTTTTTCGGTATCTGACAAATGCAGGATATTTGGCCAGTAGATAACCTATGTTGAAATACATACACCGATGACTGCCAGTAATTTTGTCCACTCATGGAGTTAACCTTGAGTGAAGAGTGCCGTATAAAATTTTGTACGGGGCTGATAACAGTGATATGCCTCGATAATAACTACAATCAGTTTTGTCACAATTATCATAAGTATGTACATAACATGTTTTGATCATTTCTGTCGGAATACGACCAGTACGTAGAGATGCATACTTCTGCAATTTTTCAGCATCTCAAAGGAAATATGCTTCTGAAACAATGGCTCATTTGTATGTATTTTAGTCTCCATAAGACTGATAAACGGTGTACATTCAATGATCGACAGAGGGAGCTATTTCACGTGTTAAAAGCATTATAGGAATCTGAAAGCAGACCACCATTCTCATAAAAGTAAGAAAGTATATGTATCCCTGTTACAGGCCGTGGAGGTCCATAGGGTTGTGAGATGTTGAGGTTCCCACATTTTTTTAGACAATCGGCACATAGATGGCGGTAAGATTGTCAGCCTTACGCGCCGGCTGCCCTTTACCTCCTAGAATATTCCAAGAATGTTCCTGGCACTCATTTCTGTACCATCAGCAGAAGTCTGAGAGAATTTTCGAATGCTGAGAGGTGTGAACGTTGTCCTCTTGACAATTACATTTTTGAGCATGGTAAAGTTTACTACCATAACTCTACTAGCATTACTTGTATCCTTAAACTCCCGTTCACAAATGTCGATTTGAAAATATCTCCTCTTCCTATTTCTTAATTGAACTCTTCTAAAATATGCATGTGACACTTTTAGAATTGATTAAATAAGCTTAATTGTTCTTCATAAAGCATGTCCCTTGTCTCATCACTTTTATCCTCAGTGGATGGAGAGCATTCGGAATACTAATATCACATAAGCGACATCTAAGTATATACGTATCCTACAACTAAAAAACTCTGCCCTCTTAACTGCTGATAAAATTCCCTTTTGTATGAAACAGCCTGTCCCTTAGTGATAACTATCAGATATATTTCCTCAGAAAGACATACAGACATCTGTCAGTTTACGCCACCCTTGTCACATGTAACCTCCTGTAGTCACACTAAATCTGACTTACAGTTTGTTAACTCTGTTATTGTTTTCAATGAATCTAAGCCATAGACTCCTGGCATTCACCTTTCCAATCCCAAGTCCATCAACAAAAATTAAAGTCCAAGGCCTTGTATAGCACTTCGCAATATGCAGTTTTCTTATGGTGAGGATGTCTTAATCCCCACTCAAACATAAACTACAAGATACCCCTTTTCGGCTGTTCGCTACTGCTTGTATATTCCCATTTATCATATACACACACACACACACACACACATATATATATATATATATATATATATATATATATATATATATATATATAGGCCTTGCTATATGTACCGTCTGTTTAAACATGCAACAAATCTAAAAAAAATTAAAATAAATATTGTGGGTCTTAATGGGGCTCTTTTTTCATTGCTAGTGGGGTGGAACTAAGTCCCTTGTACTGCGGCCACTTCTGGCCTATTGTATCAGCCCAAGATGATAGGTGAGGGTGATTGTGGAGCAATTGGTGGAAATGAAGATTGGCAGGGGAAACCGAAGTACTCAGAGAAAACCTGCCCCAGCGCCACTTTGTTCACCACAAATCCCACTTGACCAGACCCAGGATCGAACCCGGGCAGCCGCGGTGGGAAGCCAGCGACTAACCGCTTGAGCTATGGCGCGGCCTTCAATGGGACTTACTATCTAATTAATTCCATACGCCTTCATGACGCAGTGCTTAATTACTTAAGCACATTTTTGCCTTTCATTCTTAGCCATTACAGTGACAGTGAGGTCCGAGAACAAGTGTGACGACTAGTTTTATTCGGAGGTCGGATGGACCCTTACCGAAGTGACCATGGGTTGCAGAGCCTTACAAGAGAAAACGAGAAGTTGGAAAGCCAAGGAGGATGAGGTGGGAAGGGCATGTAGAACGAATGGGGGAGAAGAGGAATGCATAAGGGATGTTGGTGGGTAAGCCAGAAGGAAAGAGACCACTGGGAAGACCAAGGCGTAGGTGGGTGGACAATATTAAAATGGACCTTAGAGAGATAGGATGGGATGGTATGGATTGGAGTGATCTGCCTCAGGATAGGGACCAGTGGAGGGATCTTGTGAGCACGATAATGAACCTTCGGGTTCCATAAAATGCTGGAAAATTCTTGAGTAGCTGCAGAATTGGCGACTCCTCAAGAAGGGCTCAGCTCCATGAGTAAGTTAGTAAGTACTTCACTGACATTGCCACGCCTCGTAGCTTATCAACCTCTTCTCTAGAAGGTACTTTTAGACAGGATGTGATTTATTCTTTTATTGCAATCTTCATCACTTGAAATAAATAGTTCATCTTTTATGCTACATAAAGAGAACGCAGAAAACGGACTTACGGCATAACATGGGATGCGTCACACAGGTGGCAATTAAGAATACCGTCTGATGCAACATGGAAGGTGAAAATTGGCACATGATTCGGAGATGGAACGTGAAACGTCTCTCACTGCCACGTGTTTCTACTGATCAATGAAGACAAAGAGCGAGTTACGTACTTCGCTTAAATTATACATTTGGTGTGCGTAATAAAACGAGATTAATAGCAGAATAAACCAAAAATAAGCAAACAAACAATCGTTTCTAGCGCCTCCCAGCCTGGTAAGCCCTGTATGTGCTACTTGATGTCTTAGTGGCTCTAAACAAAAGTAAATAATTAAATAAAAAAAGTAAAAAATTAA